GCAACCCTGTGTGTGTGTATATATTGTAAATTATAAATGTGTGTGTGTGTGTGTGTGAGGGGCAAGAGTGTGTATGTGGGGGGGGGTTATTCTTTTGTGTGTATTGTGTGGGTGTATGTATGTCCCTGTGTGGATATGTGTAAATGTGTTTGTGGGGTTATATGACTGAGAGTAAGTATGTGTGTGTGTGTGTGTGTGTGTGTGTGTGTGTGAGAGAGAGAGAGAGAGAGAGAGAGAGAGAGAGAGAGAGAGAGAGAGAGAGAGAGAGAGAGAGTTTTTCATCCCCGCGACTACCCTCAAGCTACTTTCAACCTCCTGATTAGTCAGTGAAAGTTCAGACTATTGTATGGCGACACAAAAGAAACAACAAAACATAACTGACAATGTATATTTCCATGTTCTAAAAAAAAAAAACAAAGTGACAGTGTAGCACTGTGACAACAACAACCACGCCCCCCTCTTCGTCCCTCTTCTCGCCTGCAGCGTCGTTGCGGCGCGTCCACTTGTTCTTTTTAATTATCATGAGGGATAATTCGCAGCCATAAGGCTGCGGTAGAGTGGGCTTCACCATCTGTGTCAAGGTGTCGCATTTTGGCGGCGGGCAACCATTACACAAAGTGGGTTCTTAGGGGGCAAAAAAAATTGTGGGATCAGTCCTTGGCAAAATTGCGGACTACCTATAGCTAGCTCTAGTAGAACCGGGATTTTTGGAAAAAGGAAGGACCGGTCCTCGGATGGAAGTGGACCCCAAAAAGAAGTGGGGGGCGTTGGACCGGTGCTCGGGTGGAAGCCGACCCCAAAAAGAAKTGAGGGCATGTAAACTGCAAAAGGGCCCTCAGACCGAGGCGTTGAGGTCCGTCTTTTCAAAACAGGGAGTTCAGACGCAACGAAACAGACGTTTTGAAAGAGTCAACTTTGGGGATTTTCTGTGCTCAGAGGAACATGCAGAAAAATCTGAAATTTTGAGAATCCGTAGATGAGGTCGTGTTCTTTCCAGGAAAAATATTAGAACATTTTCAAAAAATCATTTAGACTGCAAAATAATCGTCGCGCCGATTCGACATATTTTCCATTTTTGCCACTCAGCCATGTGTGGGCCAACTGAAAAAGTACTTCAAATTCAGTGAGTTTTCGCGCTCAGAAGAATGCGTGAAAAAACCTGAAAATTGGAGTACTCGTATATTTTGTTGTGATCTTTCCAGGAAAAACACTCGATAAATTAAAAAAAATCATTCCAACTGTGAAATGGATCGTGGCCGCAATTTGACCCAGATTTCCGTTTTGTCGTTCAGCATCTCTCTCTCTCTCTCTCTCTCTCTCTCTCTCTCTCTCACTCTTTGTCTCTCTCTCACACTCATAACAATAAATTGAACAAAACTCTCTCTCTCTC